CCACCACAGTGCTGAATGGGGACACCTTGACTCTGTGTGGGGCTTTGAGACAATTTGTGTTCCAGTTCTCATTGGGTTTATTTGCTTTAGCTTGTAACAACACACTCTACTGTTTTTAAATCAGGGAGTTCTTGAAGATGGGTCAGTTCTGAGCTGGGCACGGGATGTCACAGGCTGGGGGACATGGGGAAGGTGCCCTGTGACCCAGGAAGGGGGTGTCTGTGAGGGCCAGTGCTGCACTGCCCTTGGTCCTCAGGCCCCTCTAACCCCCATGGGCAGGGCTGGAATGAGCTCCTCCAGCAAGGAGTGAGCGAGGTGCCATGTCCATGTGTGACTGAGCTGTAAGAACAGCCACAGGTGGAAATTTAGGTGTGAAAATGGCTCAAATTCCCCTGCCCTGTGAGAGTTCCTGCAGAGCAGCCCAGGTGGGTGTAGGGAGATGTACCAGGTGATGCTGCTTAAGGAGCAGAACCAGGGCTGGGTGTTCATGCAGATCCCTGGCTCTCCCTCCTGCAGTGGGCTTTTCATCTCTCCAGTGTCACCCCTGTACCTCCACGAGTTACCCAGGATGGTTTTGGTGTGGCAGTGCTGGCTCTGTGACCCAGCTTTGTCCTGATGCTGTCCTGCTGCTCCTTTTAAAGCTTGCCCTGGCCAGGTGAGAGGGTGATCCTCCTTTATTTACCTGTGTGCACGAGGGAGGGAAGCTGTGCCATCAGCGATGTCCCTGCTGCCAAGGGGTCACAGCCAGGGCTCTGGGCTGCAGCTGGCAAGGCACAGCCTGGGGTGGGAGGCAGCAGCAGGACATTGCTGTGTGCCATGTCAGGGGAAGAAAATGTGCAGAGGAAAATGTCAGTAAGGTATTTTTATTACATGGTGAGAGGGGTGGTGTGATGCAATTGCAAACGGGGGGCCCCGGTCTTCTCGTGCCTGTGTTTTCTCATGCAAGGCTTTATAGATGTTGCATGACTTTCAACTCTGCTCTTATCTCTGCCCCCAGAGGACATAATTATTGCTAGTCTGACTATGCCAGTACAAATGTTTGATGGTGAATAATATTTTTGAGAACTGAATTGCCACTTGTTTCCTAATTAAAACCCAACCTCCTCATCATGTCAGCTATTTGCAAAAGGGAACATGATGATGATAAGCTACGTTGAGGCTCTACCTGCCTGAGGTGGCTGGAGTGGCTTTGTTAAGAGTATTCAGGAGCAAGCAGGAGGAATCCACAGAGATGCAAAAGAGCCACTCTGCTTCTCCAGAAGGCTAGAGCTGAGGAGCTGCCCCTACCCTGGGATTTGGGGTGCTAAATGCAAGGGCACTGTGAGGGCAGAGGCTGCCTTCTGTAAAACTGCTCCTTCTGGAACAGAAAGTGAATAAAAGCAGCAGCAGCCATGGCCATTAATTACTCTGTTTTCCACATTGCCTCTCACCACTTATTAGCGCAGCACTAAGGAGATGGGATGCAACCCCAGCCTGGGTGTGGATGCTGCAGAGGAATGAATGCCTGTGGGATTGGCATGGATGTGCCACTGTAGGGGAGAGGGGCCAAAGCCACCCCAGGGCCTGGCAAAGTGCAGAATGTGACAGGCAGAGGGGATGGAGTGAGGCTGTTTCTTTGGGATGCTGGGCTGGAGCCGCGGGAGCGGTAAGGCTGCGGGATGGGGAGCACTGGCATTGTCCTGCTTTTCCCAGGAATGATTTGTGTTTCTTCCTTTCCTACTGGCCTCCAGGCACTGCAGCACTGCTGAATGCTCACACAACCTCAATCAGCAGGAGTTGCTTCCCCTCCAGGTAACCCTGTGCTTGGGAGCTCCTTGGGAACACTGAGGTGAGCGTGGGGAAAGCGGTTCTACCCTCTCCCCTTCAGTCAGGCACCCCAAAGGTACAGCCAGAACTGCAGCAAAACATAACCTCGCTATAAACAAGCCACAGAGAGTCAGAGTCCCATGGAGATCCTTCACCAATAAATTATCCTCCACCAATGCTGCCAAAGAGGAGCAAATAATTTGCCCTCTCTCTAGAGAGCAGCAGCCCATGGAGGGAACAGAGCTAAACAACTCCTTAATGCTCTTAATCTCTACCTATGTGCATTTCTGGCAGTGTATCAGAAATATTAGTAAAAATCGTATTAAAAATAATATTTAATGATCTTTTATGTGAACATTTCCCTCGAGAGATGTTGCTGGCATCAGCACAGAGCAGAGATCTTATTTGATATGGGATTTGGCACAGCTTGGAGGGCAACAGGACGGATGTGGTTCCGTCCTGGGTAATGTGTTGCAGCATTATCTTGATGGGATGGTGTCAGTGTGGGACGCATTAATAAATCTACAACAGCCTCGTAGCTCTCTGGAAGATCATCTGTCACGCTGTGAAGCAGAGCAGGGCAAAATTAAACATTTAAATCTCACACAGATGGTGGGAGGAACTCGCTCCTCGGAAGGAAGGAGCAGCAGAGGGGAGCTTGGCTTCCTGGCTCCGCAGTGGATGCAGAGCCTGCAGCCCAGCCAGGCCTCAAGACACACTTAAATTGATTGAGCTGTATCCATCCCCATCCACAGAAATGTCAGGAGATACTTAAATGCATTCAGAGTGTATCGTGTTCTGACCTCTGCTAACCCTGGCATCGATTAACTCTGGGTTTGCTTTACCTGGGGGAATCCCCAGAGCACTGTTTATAAACATTCACGAACACCAAACACAACACAGGAGGCATAAAACAACACAAGAACAACACAAACACTCGGCCTGGGATGCCACACAGGCTAAGGAAAGCTGTGGGCTTGCACCTGGGGAATTGAACTTCCCTGAAAAGGAGGAGGTTGGAACTGCCTGTTCTGCTGGCTTCGGGGAAAAAAATCAGGTTTGATTCCACTCTGTTATTAAAAAAATACCCGTCCCAGTGACCTTTAAAATATCTGAATTTAACACCGAGAAATGCATGTGTTTTACACACTGCTAGAGGTGAGCATGAATACTCGGGGTGGCTGTGGGGACATGCCACCACCTCTGGCTGCGCTGCAGCCTCACATGAGAAATCAGCAGAGCAGAAAACACCTTTGCTGAAAACACCCACCAGCACCCTGGCGGCTGCTGCTGCTGCCACACCAGCACCAAGAGCAAAAAGAAGAGAAAAAGTTCCTTAACTTGTTCTCACCAGACCTCACTTCCTAGAAACTGTCACCAGGAATGTCTTTGACGTCTACACAACAATATTATCCAGCTAATAACGCTGAAAACGTGGCACAGGAGTAAAGAGGAGAGCATTAGGAATCCTAAGGGGCATCTTGGTGGCCACGTTTGCTGTCACCACCACTGTAAAGCCATGCCAACCTCTGAGCAAACACAGGGCCCTCCTCACCCGGGTGATGGTTTCTGTTTGCTTGGGGTGTTCAGCAACACCCTCAGGTCAGCGCCGAGATCCTCCCTGTGCGCTGCTGCTGCTGCTTCAGGGAATGAAACCCAGCTCTTTCCATGGATTTGGGCAGAGGGGCTGCAGAAGCCAAAACTGGGGAGTCCCCTGGAAAGAGCCAGCACAAGGCATGTATCCAGTCACATCACCAGGCTGAGGATGTGAGAGGAATTTCCCTCCCATCACCTCCCTGCAAATGGAGAGCCCATGTGGAGGCTCTGGAAGAACTTTTGGAGATGGAGCCGCGGGAAGCACAGCCAGCCCCAGCAGTCCTGCCAGCCCAGGGGCTTTCAGGAGATAAAAATACCCCTTTCCATGTTGTAGCTTGGATCAGTGAAACCTTTAAACAGGGCTGGTGGGAGACTTTACCCTGAACCTCCAGGAGGGACATGCCCTAAGTCTTCCTCTGCTCCCTTCCACACTTGCTTGGACACCCTGAGCCTCGGCTTTGCTCTGGGGCCACTGGTGGAGGAGAAACCTTCCCCAGTGGATGTGTTCCGGTGGAAAGTGTTGGTTTAAATTAACATTTTCAACAAAAAGCACGTTCTCAGACGGCTCATAATGAGGCGCATGGTGAAATCCTCCCAGCTGTATGCTCTACCTCGCTTTAATCAGATCATTAACTTTCATAAAGATGTAGGCAGGAGGAGTGGCGGCACTTGAAAAGAACTCAAAACACGCTGAGTTTCAAACTTCAGACTTGTCATTGACTTAGCCTTTCATTGAGCCAATTATTTATGACATATTTGACGAAATTCAGAAAAGAAAGCACTTAAAATCTGCATATCTGCTTGGCTGCAGTGGAGCTACTACTACTTGAAGGAGGAACACGAGCAGGGATCTCTCTGCTCAGAGCCTGAGGACACCTGGGTGCCTTGTTTTGCATCATTATTTGCCAGCAAGTGCTTCAGCGAGCAACGACGGGGTGTCACACAGATGCGTTTGTTTGTATCCTGTTTTTGTTATGCACGCGTTTTAATAAATGACGAGGAAATTAATTCTGAATTTCTGCGTGCGGAGGCTCGCAGGCAGCTCAGCGCTCCGCGGCTGGAGCCGGCTCCGCGGAACCGCGGGATCCCGCAGAAGTTTGGGTCGAAAGAACCTTAAATTCCCATCCCACGGGGATGGACACCTTCCACTACCGCAGCCTGCTCCAAACCCCCTCCAACCTGTCTGTGGGCGCTTCCAGGGGACTCCGGGGGCAGCCGCAGCCTCTGCGCCAGAGCCGCCCCTCAGCGCCGGACCCCGCGGGTGCCGTCCCCGCTGCGATCCATGTCCGGGTTTTCGGCGGCGCCGCGGGGCAGCCCGGCCCGCCCGCCCGGGGCCGCGCGCGCTGCGAGCGGCGGGCCCGGGGCCGCGGGGGCCGCGCGCGCTGCCAGCGGCGGGGGCGGGCCGGCCGCCGCCATGGGCCCGGCGGGGGCGGGCGGGCGTTGAGGGGGAGCGCGGCGGGGGCTCCCTCCTTCCTTCCCTGCCTCCTTTCCTCCCTCCCTCCCTCCCTCCGCCGTCCGTCTGTCCGTTCGTCCCTCCCTCCCTCCTGCCGCCCGCCCGGGGCGCAGGGCGGGAGGCGGGAGCGGCCCCCGCGCTCCGCACGCGCGCACCGGGAGCCGCTCGGCCGTACCGGCGGAGCCGCCGCCGCCGCCGCCGCCAACCCCCGCCCCGGGGGCGGCTGCCCCGGCGGAGCCTCCATCTGCAGCCCGGCGGCGGAGCGGGAACATGGCGGACCTGGAGGCGGTGCTGGCCGATGTCAGCTACCTGATGGCGATGGAGAAGAGCAAGAGCACCCCGGCGGCCAGGGCCAGCAAGAAGATCACCCTGCCCGAGCCCAGGTACCGCCCGCCCCGCCGCGGCCCCGGCCCCGCCGCGGCCGCCGCCGGACATAACGGTCCGGCCGTGCCCCCGCGGCCTCCGCCGGCACCGGCGCCGGCCTGGACCCGGGCTGGCCGTGCTGGCCGTGCTGAACGCTTGTGTTTATTTGCCACAACTTGCGCGGGGTCCCTCGGCGGGTGAAGGGGGCACGCCGCTGCCTGCAGGGATGAACCCCCCCGCAGCAGCTCGGGGGTTTATGGATCCGCAAGCCCCGGTGCTCCGTCCGGCGGGTGAGGAATTCCGTCCGAAGCAGCCGGTAGCACCGAGCGGAGCCGCTCTGGCCGCGCTGCTCCGCGGAGCGATTTTTTGGGTGATGCTTCATGGGGTTTGACAGGGGATGCGGGAGGAGGACGGGGCTGGAGCTTGCCCTTAGCGGGCGGCTCACGGAGCAGAGGTGCCGGTGCAGCTCTGGGCTCCGTCGCCCCGACCTTCCCCGGTCCCACCGCGGCAGCAGAGCGGTGCCCTGGCACAGCCGAGGTTGTTTGCTTGGGGCTTGGTGCTAAAAGCAGCTTTTCTTCTGCAAAAACAGCTTTTCCCCGTGGTTATGTGTTTGTTATAAAATCACCTGAGCGTCGCTTATTTATTGCTGAAATTAAAACGAAGCTTTTCCTGTTTTTCATGGCTCTGTGTGTGTGTGTGTATGTATATATATATATATATATATTAAATGAAGATTCAGGCAGCAAACAGAATACTGCAACAGGAAAAATCTAAACCAAATTTTACTGCAGAATGTGTAGGCAGTTTGGAAGCCTGCTGGTGGCCTAGCCTAGTTGTCTGCTGTGAGCCAGGGATCGCTGGAGCCCTCTTCCCACTTCTTCACTCGTTTTCCTGCCTTTCTGCTGGAATGCTGGGAGGCTGCAGAGCCGGGGGAAGGTGAAGGATGCCCAGCCCATGTTTATCCCCCTTGCAGGGGCAGTGAGACCTCAGGTGATGAAATTTGGCTGTTGTGTTTAAGGTCTGGTTGAGGATGGTGTTGCTGGACAGACAAAAGTGCCTGCTTTTCTCATGGTAGGTGTTTACACTTTAAAAGCCGTACAATATCCGTGACATTTCATCTGCCCTGTTAGCCCGAGGTGCAGCTTTGCTGAGGGTGCTGGTGTCTTCATGTGTCTCGGTGCTGTGGTGATGTCAGTGCTGTCCTCGGTGATGTGCAGCACTGCTGCTCCCCGTTCCCAGCAGGGACGTGACCCTCGTGGGCAGGTGAAAGGTGGGACGTGGAGGGTTGCAGGGCAGGAGGAGTCCTGCCAATGCCATGAGAAATATCAGCATGGTTGGTGCTTGTGGAGAGGCTGGAAGCTGCTGCCTGTACCGATGTCCCTCGTGCCCGGCGTGGTGGAAGCCTCGTAGCAAGCACAGCACGAGGCCTGAGGAACCTGCTGTGCTTTGCTCTCCTGCTCCAGGATTTATGTGTTCGGTGGTTTCCCTGAGCTGGGAGACATGGTTCACCTGTGCTTGGCTCCACAAGGTGGGAAAGGCAGCCAGGTGCCAGGGGAAGTTTGCAGAAGGTGAAAGGATCAGTGGCCCAAGTGCCTCGCTCCTTGGGCTGCCTGTGGAAGAGCCTGTTGGTGTGAGATACTAAAGGAGGAGCATGGCTTGCCACACTCCCTGGTTTGTGATGCTCTGCAGGTGGTGAGAAGCCTTCAGTGAGGAGAGGTTTGAGGCTGTACGTGGTGCTTTGGGACAGGGACACGCCAGGCCCTGGGCACACAAGCAGAAGGAAGCACAGACATAACCGAGAACAGGGACTTACCTCAGCCTGGGACCACAAACGGCTCTAGGGTGCCCGAAATGACTGAACCTCTCAGCTTCTAACTGAAACCAGGGGTTTCCTCATACAGTAGGAAACTGTGACCGTTTTTCTGGTGTCAGATATCTTTGTGCTGGCTTCTGGCTGGTTTTTTTTTGATCCCTCTCATTAGAGCAGACATGGTGTGCTGGGTTTACTGAAATATTCTGTATCGCTGGCAAAGTGATTCATTTTAAAATGACATAAATCGGCTGGTTAAAGGCAGGTTGATATAGTAACAGTAAAAAAATACAACACACAGAGTCCTCTCTTGTTTGAAATCAAACAATTTTTCCAGATATTCATTATTTCTGTGTATGTGAGCAGCTCCTTGGAGGAGCACGAGCCCGGCTCTGTGACGTTGGGTGTGCAGCCATGCCCGCTGTCAGTCCTGGCTGTCACTGGGACAGAGAGCAGGAAGGTCACTGGAATATCACATCCATGCTTGAGATTCAATGTCCCTGCATTATTGCAGTGCTCTGCTCACAGGAAGGTGTTGGTTTATCTCTGGTGGGCAACCACAGCCCAAGCATGGGTCCTGTGCGCTGGCGTTATTTCCTCTTGAAATATGACAAAGGTTTTATCCCTTGTCTCCCTGCTGGAGCCCAGTACACCTGTCGGCACCCTTTTATCTTTCCCAGATAGGGCTGAGGCTAAATTAAGCAAATGAGTTTACTGTAATGCAAATTTGAGGGGGCTTCCTGTTTACAAGGAAATAGCTGTAGTGCCGGCAGAATGAATTCCAAGGCTGCAGGCCAAGGCTTAGCAGCAAATAAACTATGAGGGTGAAGAGTTTATTGGCCGTAGGGCTGATTATTGCTGAGTTTTCCTGAATTATCCTCAGACTGGTTTTGTCCTGAAATCCTTAAACATCACAGTTTGGGGAGGAAGCACAGAAAACACTAATGAGCCGGGAGTGCCTAAGGAAGAGGATTAGTGTGTTTTTGTTTTTGTTTTGTTTTTTTTTAAGTGCCAAAACAAAACAACCCTTCTTCCATCCTCTGTCATCTGCTTTTCCTTCCCGTCTGCATTTCCTCCTTTCGTTCCTAAAAGCCTTGCCAAGAGCTGTGAGAGCTGTGGTATCTTTCTGTTGTACATTGTTTCCTAAAAGCCTGTTTTTCAGGGAGATTCGCATGGGTGGGCAGAAAGGCTGTCAGAGGCAGAATATCCTGCTGAAATCAGGCCTGGATGGGAAGGAAGTCAGCTCTGTGGAAATACAAGCAAATATGAAACCTAAATCTTATTTTACAGCATTGCTCTCAAATATCTTAAGTTTTGGTGGGAAAGGAGTAAATTAACTGCATTCTGATTTTTTTTTTGGCTATTCAGCAGACTGCTGAGGGTTTTTACTTTTCCGTGTAGATTTTACATTTCCCTTATTTTGCTCAGAGAGAGTGGAAGAGCACTATAGAACTGCTGTTTTTATTTGCCAGCAGCTTCTTCTGGTTTGAGTAAAGGATTTGTGTAATGTGAAGCTGAGAAAAATGGTCCAAGAAATCAGGTAACAAATGGGAGAGGGTTCAGGGTTTGCAGAAGCCTCTTGTGTGCACCTCTGGAAAGTTGACATTAAACCTTTCTTGCTATAAACATCACGTAAGCTTTGGGTGCTTTTGGTATACAAATACCACGGGCATGGTAACAAAACACAGCATCCATCTGTCCAGGCTTCTCTCCCTGAGGCTGTAGATATTTCTTATCCCATCTCTCATTTTCTAACCTGCTTTCATTAATTACCTCTGTTTCAAGTAAATTCTGATTTTTCTCCCAATATTTTTCCTTGGTCTCCTGTGTTCTTCTGAATCTTGTTCTGCTGGGGGAAAGGGGAGCATATTGCAGTCACATTTTTTTCTTAAAATCATACTTTTAACATGATATTTTCCCTCAGTTATCATTGCATCTTCTCTTTACTTGTAGGGGTGAATTCTGGCCCCTGGTACCCAGCTGCTTCTCATAGGGTGGTTGATGTGCCCTTTGCTTTCTCACCCAGTATTCAAACTGCCTTGTTAAAACACTGATTGAGGCTAGTTGAAAACACAGAGGTTAATTTGCCTTCCCACTTCTGTCCTGAGCTGTTTGTGATTTCTTATGGTGCTGAATATTGAAATCCAGGCGACATCTCCTGCTCAGGGTTAAGCATCATTAAGCTCTGTTCTCTCTTGTTTCTGATTTTGTATTTCTGTGCTCTTGGCCTTACTTCGCTCTTTCTGTGGATTTTATTTCATTCTTTGAGATGGCCTTCAGAGAGTTCTTGCACCTTGTGAAACTTCTGTGAATCTCCAAGTTGCAGGCTCACGTTCCCCTGTCTGTGCTGTCAGCCTGGGTGACTTTGGTGGTGTTTTCCCTGGCATTGTTTAACGCCTCCGTGTTGTGTTTATTCATTTACCGTGCTGTCTCTGGGAACATTTTCCTGACAATTGCTTGTGTAATTTTCATTTTTGTTGCTGTTCTGCCCTTGTCAGCCCTTTGTGTCTCTCTAGGTGCTTCTTTGTTGCTGCAAGAAGACTGTTCAGTTTTGGGCACCTTCCTGGGCAGTCCCAGTCAACACCTGACAACCCTTTCCATGATGAAATTCTTCCTGATATCCAAAATTTGAAGCTTAAATCAGTAAACTGAAGTTTATCTTGCTGTCTAGCACTGCTAGTGTGAAAAGGCCCATGTGAGGGTTCATTGGAAGCTGCTTGAGGAAGGGGAAAAACTTGCTTTTTTTTTTGAACTAACAGTACAAGAAAGGCAGAACACTTGTGATTTTTGGTGGATTAGCTCAGGGTGAGATAGAGTAGTGAAATTTTGATTGGAAATTCAGCCTCCCTGCTTTGCCATCAGCAGAAGTGTGTGGTTGTGAAGGCAATAAGAAATGGCTCTCTCAGAATAATTGGGTGTGCATGCAGAATGCTGGCACTGCTGACGACGTGTACTTGCTTTTTATCTCAAGTCAGCTTTGTACTCCAGCACTTTGTTGGGAAGAATGCATGCCTGGGGATGGATTATGGCTTGTCAGTGTAGGAGGTTGCATGGGAGGGCTCCTGCTTGCTGTGGGTGCTGCTGGTGGCTCTGTTTGGGTGCTCACTCTCCCTGCTGGGAGTTCACTTTTTACTGTACCTGCAGTGTCCCTTACCCTGATAACAGACAGGTCTCTACAGGAAAGCACAGGAGGATGAAAGTCCTTTGCAG